TGTTAATCATGTTAGAAACATGCTAGTAACTTGCTAATCATGTTAACAAAATGTTAACACCATGCTATTAAAATGCTAATCGTGCTAGCAACATGTTAATAAACTTGCTAATTATGTTAACAACATGCTAGTAACATGCTAATCATGCTAGAAACATGCTAGTAATGTGCTAATCATGTTAACAAAATGTTAACACCGTGCTATTAAAATGCTAATCATGCTAGCAACACGTTAATAAACTTGCTAATTATGTTAACAACATGCTAGTAAAATGCTAATCATGCTAGAAACATGCTATTAACTTGCTAATCATGCTAACAACATGTTAACCATGTTAGAAACATGCTAGTAACATGATAATCATGCTAGCAACATGCGAGTAACAATGCTAATCATGCTAATAAACATGTTAACAACATGATAGTCATGCTAGAAACAGCCTAGCAACCACCCCAGGTACCCTAGCAATATGTTTATATCTATTTTTCTGATAGACTGTATTGCCTTGAAAACATTCAAACTTTAATCTTTAAAACAATTTTAACTTTCAATCTACTTCAAACTTTCAGACTGCAAGCTTTTAAAACTACTTCAAACTTTCAGGCTAGGCTTTTTTGAGCCACCTTAAAGTTTGTCTACAAACTGTACTCATCTAGTTTAAAATTGGAATTTCTCTAACTTTTGGAATAACATAAATACACAACTGCATAAAATATATAACACTGTGCAAGTAGTTTTTGGATATTTTATTACGAAAATCTTGCGCAAAAATTTGTCTTAATGTGTAACTATGATATCCCAAAACTTTCTGTCAAGCTATCTAACTTTCACCAACATGTTCTCTCCACCGGCGTTACATATGGAACAATAGGAATATTTTATTTAAGAATAAATCTTTGTTCAATAATCAGTGGTTCAGTAACGGAATATTTCATGTTAGTCAGCTCTTTAACAAGGATGGTCTGCTCTTTAGGTATACAGATTACTTGTAGAATTTCTATTTCTTTTAGAATATAATATACCTGTAACTCCTAAAGAGTTTACAACTGTTATGGATGCTATTCCATCTGGCATATGCATGCTTTTTTAAAAATTATACTCTATCTATAGGAACAGTTCCCTTTCCTGAACCTATCAACACGCCTATTGGTGAAATATGTTTCACTGGGAAAAAAGGAAGAAATTTTAAAATAAGAACTTTATTCCTTGAGAACATTGTCTCTGCCCCTCCTGTAGTCTCATATTGGAACAACCTTTTTGATCATTTAAATTGGAAAAATATATGGTCCATGCAACAAAGACTTTTCCTCACTAACAAAATAAAAGAAAAAACTTTTAAATTACTCCATAATATTTACCCTGTCAAACATTTTCTTAAGAAAAAATTTGGATCAGATTTGGACACTAATTGCTCCTTTTGTCAGAATGATACTGAAACACTTCTTCATTTGTTTTGGTCGTGCAACTATACTTTTCAGCTCTGGAAAGATGTTAGTTATTTTATTTCAAGTACTATCTTACAAGGTTTTTCAGTGAATCCTAAATCTGTTATTGTTGGTTTCTTTGAAGCGGATTCAAATGCCTGCTTTATTATAAATCTAATTCTCTTTCTATGTAGATTTTATATTCATAAATGTACATTTTCGAACTGTAAACCTATGTTTGTAGTATTCTTACAAGAGATAAAACATTATTTACGTACAATTTCATTCTGACTTAACAAAAAAGCTCTCAAAACATGTACAGTTTGCACAGCCTACAAACTCTTTACTGTATTTAATGTGTAATTTTTATTAATTTGTGTAATGCCCTCTTATTTCCTTTTCTTTTTTCCCCTTTGTCTTTTTTTTTTTTGTTAGTCTTTTTCTGCTTTGAACTATGGTACTGATTGTTTTTTTTATTTTATTTATTCTATTGATGTTATTCTTAACTGTTGTTATGTTTTAATTTTGTTGTTCCATAATGTAAACTAAATGTTCAAATAAAGCATTAAAAAAAGTGAGGCATACACGACGTTAATAGTAAGATAACTCCTTTGATTAACTGGAAAGACCAGCTTGTGGCGTTTATATTTTGCTTGGGTGCATGTGGTGAGTAAATTACTTTTATAACCTGAATGTTTGCAGTACGTGGTGTTTAGCATTGGCAGACTGAAGAGGGAAGTTCCTGGTTCGTCTCATGATAAACGCTACACGGTGGGCAGAGCGCAAGCTTAATTTGACAACGATGTGAAAAGTCATGCAGTTTGCTTGATGAACAGCAGAGAGCGGTCGAATGCTAACAATCGTCCAGACTAAAGCGATATATACATGCACGTACTTGGCAGACGCCTCCTATCCTATTCCTATCTGCCATTGATTGATATTATTATTGTTAGTGTTTAGTTTTTCTGAACAAAATATAGCATTAAATAGTCTATTATAAAGCAGATTATTAGATTATAAAAGTGTCCTAGTTATTGTTGGGGTTTTATACATTTAGCATAATATAGTTTTGCCAGAACACAGACCAATCAGCTGAAAGATCGATGACTTAAACAACAGCAACGACTATTTATTTTCAACGGATATCCATTGGTGTAAAAAAAATATTTATTATATATTTATGATTATGGGTCTACGTTTGTTATTAGTATTATCATTGTTATTATTAATACACTAATGAGTATTGTAGTTTTGTTAACACTAATAAAACTGCTAATATGGCTAGAAACAAACGATTATAAATAACATCGGAATTTATTTAAATGTGTAACGAAGAAAGTTCTTGATTAAAAAATATCGCACACGTAATTTTTGGTAAGTCAAATGATTTTATTTCAGGCAGATGGCAATAATAAATAGGGAATTTATTTAAATGTGTAACGAAGAAAGTTCTTGATTAAAAAATATCGCACACGTAATTTTTGGTAAGTCAAATGATTTTATTTCAGGCAGATGGCAATAATAAATAGGCTAATAATTAAAAAAAAAAAAAAAGTTCAGCGTACTGAAGTCCAACAACTGAGACGTTTCCAGTAAAGTTTCGGTAATAGGAGCAGTTTATACATTTTAGATTATAATTTGGTGTAGGTCTGTCACCAGAAAACCCTTAATGGGCACCCTTTACCGCGTATTTCAGACGCAGTCGTCATAGACGAAATGAGTAGTAAAAACGCTTTAATTGTGTGTCTTTTTGTTGATATGCGCAGTTAATTATGTTAAATTTGTTGCGCCCACTTGTGGTTCATAAAGGAACACATAGCCGTGTGTTTGGATTTGTGCTTTAATGCGGTAAAGAGAGAAAGACTCTTTTACTGCGGTCATGGGCAGATATAAGGGACCTATTTTTCAAACAGACACATCGACACGCAGTACGTACACAAACAGAGATAATACGTCACAGACAGAGAGACAGACACATGGAGTTAAGTGGGCTTATTTGATTAGCTTTCATTCTTTCCTTTGCCATTCTGGTTTTCTCAGCATAAATGCATCCTCAGTTTGCCATTAGCAATCAGCCTGTGTCTCGTGCAGAGGTCTGAAGGCCTATAGATTTATCTTTATGTGGTGCATAAGGGTAATGGTGATTGCAATGGAAAGTTTTTCCAAATTAGCCAGCATTTCTGAGATGTTTCGCACATGAGGTTTGACTCAAAACAAGAGATGATTAAGAATTTAAAAGTTATTTATTTGAAAGATTTTATAATTCAGACAGAAAGTGATTGGTAGCTTACAAGGTAGGCCAGTGTGTGTGTATGCACAGACTGGTTGGAATGTCGTGTCCATCTAGGCTTCCTGTCTGTGAACGTAATCTGCGGGAAACAGGCAACGTTTCCCAACAGTCTCAGCGTGACGATAAGCTGCTTTTTATCAGGGTTATGAGGCCGTGCTGCAGTTGGCACTGGTTGTGTCACACGCATACACACACAGAGAGCCTCAGGTGGTCAGACATTGAACGGTTTGTATGTAAATGTCCAGTAAATGTGTGAAAAGAAAACGGAAATGTATCTTTAAGCACATCTTTTCCTCTGCTGACATATATATACTTATATACAGGCACACGCATGGCTGCTGGAGCTTCTCATTTTTTCCCAAAGGTCTTTGGGACTGTGCCTATATCACCCCAGCAGGAAGTAGGGGGCGGAATGCCATGGCCGGGGTGGAATGTTCCAAAGTTCTAGAATGTGCGGTCGGGAAGTATGAGAGGGGAAAAAGGGAGAACAAGAAGTAGACGAGAATAAGAATGAAAGAGACTCGAAAGTTGTTTATGTTTTAGGTTAAAACGTGTCTTTAGGGTACGGCCGTGTCACTTTTTGACAGTCAGGTGGATTCAGCGGCTTAAACTGAGCTGTCAGACTTTCACTGACTGACACAATAGCCTTGTTTGCTTGATTAATACTCTTTTGTCTGTGTGTGTGATGCACTCGGATGATTCAGTAAACTTGTATTACACTGGCTTACAGTGTGTGTTGTAGCCCGTAGGCACTCCTTGCTTATTTGTTAGCCGTCTTGTCGACTGTTTTCTTTGCATTCTTTGCAGACTATGTATGGAGCTCTTTTTAGTGAGGGGATTTTTAGTTCTCTGCTGTTAAAGTGATAGTTCACCCAAAAATTACAATTCTGTCATCATTTATCCACCCTCATGCCGTTCCAAACCTGTTTGACTTTCTTCTGTGGAACACAAAAGAAGATATTTAAAAAAAAATGTCCATACAGTATTTAGACTTTTTTTCCATACAATGGGGTCCACTGGGGCAAAAACAGTTGTGTTGCATGAAAGAAAGTCATACAGCTTTGGAAAGACATGAGGGTGAGTTTCGACACAAGCGTGTGTGCGTACGTGTGCGAAAACGCAAATTTTGTATTATGTAGGCGTGTATTCGCTGCGGTCTGGCTCATGAAATTCAGAAAGAAATGGTCATTGTGTTGCATACTCTCTTGGGTAATGCTTGCCGTAAATGTGTGAGTGTGTGTGTATTTCTCAAAACCCAAAATAATTCTTCCTCTATGTGGTTTCAGGATGGGTCCTACCTGGCTGAGTTTCTGCTGGCTAAAGGTTACGAGGTGGGTAAGCCAATGTAACCCCGAAAGACATCCTACAAACCTGTCAGAAATCATTCCCACATTGATCTGATGCAAATATGTCTGTCTGTTAATAATCATACATGAAAGTCATATTTTCATTTGATTCAAATTTAAATGGGTTGCATCTTATTTAAAGGTTCACTGTACATTTTGGTTATTTTTTTAAGATAAAGAAATTTTAAAAGACATATCTCTTATGCTCAGCAAGGCTGCATTTATTCGATCAAAAATACAGTAAAAACAGTCATATTGTAATATACTATTAAAATTTAAAGTAACAAAAAGAATAGTCTTAAAAGAACAGCATGTATTTAAAATAGAAATCTTTTGTAACTTTATAAATATTCTTACTGTCACTTTTGATCAATTTAACATATTCTTGCTAAATAAAAGTATTAATTTCTTAATAAAAATCTTAGTGACTCCAAACCTTTGAACGAATGTTCTGTTTAAAGTCATGTACACTCAAATGAGATTAATACATGAAGTTTTTGTTGTTTTGGGCAGGTTCATGGTATCCTCCGCAGGTCCAGTTCTTTTAACACGGGCCGGATTGAGCACCTTTATCATAACCCTCAAACGCACACAGAAGGAAGTGAGTTTCACATCCACACACCTGGCTCTAATATGCATGCTTTATTATGTTTGTAAATGCATAAATGTCTTCTAACCTGTGTAAAATATCACTAGGCATTGGATCCGCTAAGGGTTGTAAGTTGTCCATTCAGTATTTTTAATTAATTTTTTTAAGGTATTTTCCTTTATGGTTGCAGTCTAAACATTCTTAAGCACTATTTGGACGGTAATTATTTATTTTGGGTGAAGTCTGAGAAAATCATTGGCATGGCTCCTCTGTGATAAAAGTCATGCATTTGGACTGCAGTTTTTCACAGGGGAGACAAAGAAGTTTTCTATTTTTATTCATATAGGGAATGACACATACACAATGCCGCTAAATATGGTTGTCACTCTTCTGACAAGTGCTTAATCCCATTCTGTACAAACAAGAGTTCACCTGTTTATGGGAGTGACAAAAGTGTTCTGCGACAGAATTCACTCCCCAAAATTATGATATGTTATAGTGCCCTACAATAGGAAAATGCAGTACATACTTACAACTGAAAGACCAAAAACCAAAAGTTTCACAGGTTCGGAGGTGACTGCTGTATTATATACAGTAAAAATAGTTGGTTAGTTTACGGAAACAAGCTTCCTTTGTGCCAAAATACCAAAATTCTGATTCCGTTTAACAGCCAGTGGTAACATTTGGGGCCCAATTAATCCATGTAAACTAATTCATCCACATAAAATAACCAAATTTAATTTGACCAGGAATTTTTTTCCTGAATGGTAGGATAAGAAAATTAACATGTCTTATTGAAATTGTAATAAAGTCACTTATTAGTCCCTGTGTAAAACATTTGCCATCCAAATAGGTCTTTCATTCTTTATCTGGTTTTGAAAGCAAAATTAAATAAAATGAAATTCAAAGTTTTGCACAAAAATCTAGAAACAGACTCTTATTTCACTCCAGTCGATCTGGTGATGGGCGTCTGTTTTTCTCTTTTTCTTTCTTTTTTTTGGCTCAGTAAACAATTTTATAAACATTTTGAACATGGATATTACCTCTTTGTACTGGGTCTGGTAGCTTTCGCTGGCAAGGCTTTACAATAAGGTAATGTATTAACTAACTTGAACAAAACACTTATTACAGTATTTATTAATCTTTGTTAATGTTATTTAATGTAAATACAGTTCATTATTAGTTCATGTTAATTCACAGTGCATTAACTAATGTTAACAAGCACAACTTTGATTTGAATAACGCATTTGTAAATGTTGAAATTAACATTAACTAAGATTAATAAATGCTGTAGGAGTACTGTTCATGCTTAGTTCATGTTAACTAAAGTAGTTAACTAATGAACCTTATTGTAAAGTGTTACCCTTTCGCTCAAGTGGCAGTCTTTAAACTTGAGCCGATGTGGAGGGAAATTTTTTCTAAAACTTTCCAGTAGACAGTAAGCTATATATCAGATTGCTTTGTCAGGGAATGAAATTCATTCTTTTATTCTGTGCCTCATAGACATGAAGTTGCACTATGGAGACTTGACTGACAGCACGTGCTTGGTAAAGATTATCAATGAAGTCAAACCCACTGAAATATACAACCTTGGAGCACAGAGTCACGTCAAGGTAAAACTTTCTCAATCTCGCATTATCTAGCTTCCTTTCTCTATGTTTCTCAGTCACACAGATGCTCTTTGTCTGTCGACTCTCAAACTCTCCCGCTGGACAGACACACACACACACACACACACACACATGCAAACTGTTTCATAATGACTTTGGTTTCTTTCTCAGTGGTGAACAAATGACCCCATCCAAGTAATACTTTGGAAAGAAAAAAATTCTTAACCAAATACAGAAGACTTTCTTTCACTCTCTGTTTCTTTACCCACACCCCTAACGTCTAGTCATCTGGGATGAGGTCAGGGGGATGTTTGTCAGAGAGTTGGCCATCATGGTGTATGTGAACTTCTGTGTGGGTGCTCCACAGGGTAATTTATGGGAAACAAGCACAAACGGCAGTTAAAGTGAGGGAGAGGAAGGGAGAGAGGATGATGATGGAATAAGAAGATCAAAAGCAGAATAGAGATGAGATAATGAGGAGGGATACGAGTGAGACAGTAATATTGACGTTGTTTCCTTTAGCTACTCATGAGTTCAGTCACAGGAAAAACCAATTAAAATGTGTTCAGAGAGAAACAACAGCGTCATGTTTTTGCTGCAGCTTAACATGTTTCAACCACACAAAGAAAACAACTGAAAACATTTGTTCATCCAAAAGTCATCATTTACTCAACATTTGATACAACATGGGAGTGAGAAAATGATGACTGAAGTTTCATTTTTTTGGGTTCCTTGAAACTATTCCTTGAAAAGCATGAAACTTCTTTCGCAAACCATTTGTCTTCCGTGATGTGGTGTATTTCCAAATGAATCAGAAGTTGGCATTTGATTGGATGGTAACAGACAGTCGATTATATTGTTGGTTAATATTATTTTAGCCCACTCGTGCGGCATTTGTTATGTAAGAAAAATGAAAGTAATTTTGGAGGCAGAAAAAGTAATACATTTGATGAGAGATCATGGAAACTCTTCTAGAACAACATGCACCGATGAATCATCCATAATAAGACCAGAGACATTTTATTAAGAAAGTGAATAGAGTCAGTTTTGATTTCCTGTTGTCAAGTTCAATCATACTGAGGGGTCGTTCACGTTGCTCGCATCTCACGTCTTTTGCAGTGTATCACACATGACACAGCACTCTTTTTGTTAAATCCTTCTTTAGACTGTACTTTTTTAACTCCACCCCCTGCATCTCTCATTTTAAACACAAATACGCGTCTTGTGTGAACAGCCCCTAAAGTTATTCTTACACAATAATTTTACACAAAAATTGTTCTTACGCAATAATTACCACTTGCTGTGTTTGATAACCACAGTGGCTTCAGAAGTATTGGAATACATTTAAACACTCAAGTCATATTAAAAATGTATCAGTGTCATTGTATTATGCAGATTTAAGTCGCATCTGCAAACACATGATGCTTTTTAAGTAATACTAATTTTTTGAGCCAGTGTTTTTGAGCTATATTTCTTTAAAACAAATGCGACTTGGTTTGATATTTTGTTATATAATGCCAGTGCATTCGTACATTTTTAAATATGGCTTAACTGTTCAAATACTTTTTCGAGCCGCTGTTTGTCTAAAACGGTTCATAAGCCTCAATGGTTGGCTTGTAAGTCAGTAGGATGGAAAGATCCAGACTGCACCTGCGGGCTGAAAACGTACAGTTAAATACAGCAGCTGCCGTAATATGGAACTAAATAATTCAGGTGGAAACTCACTGAGAAACATTGGCCAACAGACAGGCATCCATTATAATGAATGGGAGGTGTTCTGGGTGTCCCATTAGGAGGATCATCTGCTGTGATGACAGATAACAGCAGGATGCTCACTGTCACAAATGGAGTTTGTACCGCTGTGGATCCTCAACATAAAGAATAAAAAGTACTTTAAGCACAGACATAGGAGTAAGGGAGAGTAGTTTGTATTTAAAGATTGCAATCAGGATTGCTATGTGGAAAAATAAACAAGCGTGATTTAATACACCATCAGTTTAGGCTTGTAAGTGTGTGCGTTAGCCGGGAGTGGTCATTAAAGATAGCTGTTTCAATCAGTGCCCGCAGTAATGAAGTGGTAGATCACTGCTACTCTCTGATTGTAGTTTACATTTTTTACTCACCGCACTTTGTTTGGATATGGCAGAAAAGTGGCAGAGAAAACACACATACACACACATGCTCGGTTTCCAGTTTTTACACACAGGGGTCAGCAAAGTGCTATTTTGTTTGATAGTACCACTTGGCGGTTTTTGTAGAATATTCGTTTATACTTACAGGAATGTTTCAGAAGAAAGTGATGTGCTTTTTTTCCCTGCATGCACATTCTGTCTTTGTCTGTGAGCATTTATAGTCTTGTTATTCAAATAAATCCGTTGGATAAATGACATAAGGACGACAAGCATTAAGACTGTAATGAGCTATGATTGAGTTGAAATAAAGTCATGGGGTATTCAGGTCTAATGTTGCATAACAACATTTGAACATTTGATTTTCTTGTTAGAACTCACTCACTCTCTGCAATTAACATGGATATATATATATAGATAGATAGATAGATAGATAGATAGATAGAGTAGAGTTTGACAAACTATTCCTGCTTTTGTCTTTTCCTTATTAGTTTCACACTTTTAACATTTAACTTTTTTTATTCGATGTTGTAATAAAATTCATGCAGAATTTAAATTATTGTCTGAACTTAAAGAAAAATGATGGCAGTGAAAAATGTTGAATTTAATCAAAGCATTTTTTTAGATGCACAGTATTCGGTACAAACATACATAGTGTGTGTATGTAATTATGTTAAGTAAAAGTTTAAGTGTTATTTTCAGATAATAATAATAATAATAAAGAAATTAAAACTTTTATTCTGCAAGGATGCATTAAATTGATTAAAAGTGACAGCAAAGACATTTATAATGTTACAAAAAATATATATTAAAAAGAAAAATGCAGTTCTTTGGGATTTCTATTCAAAGATGTTAAGCAGCACAACTGTTTTCATCATTGATAATAATAAAGAAATGTTTAATGAGCACCAAATAAACATATTAGAATGAATTCTGAAGTACCATGTGACACTGAAGACTGGGGTAATGGCTGCTGAAGATTCAGCTTTGCCCTCACAGGAATACATTGCATTTTAAAATATATTCAGATTGAAAACAGTAATTTTAAATTGTAGTACATAAATAATTCACAATAGTACTGTTTTTACTGTATTTATGATCAAATAAATGCAGCCTTGCTGAGCATAAGAGGCTTCTTTTCAAAAACATTAAAACAATTTTACCGTCCCCAAACCTTTGAATGGTAGTGTATATCTCTTCAAAAGAAGTTGTACTAATAATTCTGTTTTGTTATGTGCCTGAATAATATCTCTAAATCTAATAATTAATTTAAAATGTAAAAATATAAAAATGAAAAACTTGCAGGACAGCACCTGTTAGACATGCATAACAACATGAAATATAAGGTGATAACAATAATACAAGCACTGAATTATTCAGGTGGGATATACCAGCTTCAGGAGGTCTGTGTGTGCAAACACAATGGAGAGATAAAGCCATCTATTTACATGTGAATGCGCACTGTTCCGACTCTCATGTTGTTTGGCAGGAACACAGGAACAATACAGTAAACAGGAACAGTAAATAATAGCTGTAAACCATAATGTCGACCTAATATAACATCAGTGTGCGACCACGACTTTACTACAAAAAGAGCATAGTGTAAGTTACATGCTGATGTTTGTACAAGTTTAAACCTTGCCGTTATTATCAAATAACCACAAATGGAGCTGCCTTGTGGGATAGCACACTACAATTAGTCACATTCGACCACATCAAACCTAGATCACATGCTAAACTGAGTTGAAGTGGCACTTTTTTAGGCTGAGATTGAGAGCCAAGTAACACACACACACACACACACACACACACAGTGAGAGGGTTGCAAAGTGTATTTTTATGAAAATCCATAAATGAAAGTTTATTTTCAAATTGAATTTTTTGACTTTTTTTGTTTAATGTTAAAGTAGTTCGGATTGAATTAAGAAACTGAGAACACAAAATAGCATCCGTGGTATTTGGGTTAGTTTTGTTCTGTGTTGAATTTTCTGTCACCTCCAAGCGTTTCTCTTCGACTCTGAAAGTCTGTTTGTGAATGTGTTTTTGTGTTTGCGGCAGAATCGGTTTGTCGTAGTGTTATGTACAGTCGGGCGTGATTGGCATACGCTTTGTGTTTGGATTAGTACAGATCTGTAGCTAATATGCAGTATTACTGGAGCATTGCAGTATGTATCATGTTTTGTGTACTTTTGCGAATGTGTTTGATGTGTAATGTAAGTGTTGTCTTGGGAAGACTGAAATTGTGTGCATGTTTATAGACGGATGTGACACAGCAAACAGGCAAGAGAATGCAGGATTGAGTGACACGCTGAAAGATGATCCGACTTTGGTGAAATGCAGCACAAAAACCTTTTCAGCTAATGACGACAGAATTTTTTAATAAGGTCGTGGTTGCAATGTAACACTGAGCCTAAGTTTCCTTGTTAGCTAATTGGGTGTCTAGAGGACGCAGACGCTCTCACTTTCATACAGATACTTACAGTTAATTGCTTGTGTAAATCATTCCACTCACCACCAACAAACAGACCTTTATTCAGTGGTGTTACATCACGCTAAAAACATGAGTTTGATCTATCTAAATGACAGCACCTGAAGCAAGTGATTAATTATGAGAGAGTAAAATCTCTGTCACTCATTTAAGGGTGGGAATGCAGATGCATTTTAAACATGTTGTATAACATGCTCATTCAGACACTGGAAGTGGTAGAAAAGATGTATAACATTTAATTAGTTTTTAACTAATTTTTTTTTTTTTTATATGAATATTTATATATTTACAATGTGTTGTTGTATTTTATTTTATTTTTTTATTTAATTAATTAATATTATTATTATATAATATATTATAGTTAAAGAGACTTTCTTTTCTCAGTA